TTCCAAATCCCCCTTCCCTTTTCTGTATTCTGTGCCTTGTGTGTTTTAGTACCCTCCAACCCTATCTTTTAACCTTTTAATAAGTTCCATTTCCCCAACACTTGGACTGTTGTTATCTAAATCCAGTGCCTGGTCTGGAGTACAGGAGCAGGGAGGGTCTGGGTGGAGGTTATAGCCCAGTTGGCTATGAGAGTGGGGAATCCCAGGTGGCAGTTTGCTACAATTGGCTCCCTCCACTTTTAATTGTTTCTTTTTGTGGATCATGGTAGAGTAGAACATGGTAGAACATGGGTGAATTTAGTGTGAAATCCCTAGCAAGTGTGAATCAAGACTGACAGTACAAGACTGACAGTAAGAAAATAAAATAACATGCAATTTTTAAAAAATTGAAATGGAGCTGTGGTTACTGCAGTAGTTGCTTTGAAAAGGAAAAATGTACTGAGTTCAGAGGACATGGTAACCCTCCATGGCTGACTGTTCATGATGGGTTATCATTCATTCATTCATTCATTCATTCATTCATTCATTTATTTATTAAAACATTTCTATGCCACCCCATTCGCCAAAGCCTCGGGGCGGCTCACAACATTAGGTTAAAATACAAGAAATAACAATATAAAATAAGTCGCCCTGGCCAGATAAGTCACCTCGGCCAGATTTATCATGATATGGAAATCACCAACATACTGGAATCCTAATTTCACTCATAGATACTACAGCTCTTGGGATGGAGCCCTTTATTTACTGGGGCTGATTTCTGAGCAGAAATATATAGAATTGCACTGCAAGGAACTTAAATGTGTAAAATATTAAAAGACCTGAGATATTATTTTTAAAAACCTCTAATATTATAAATCCATTACAGTTACCATAAGAACGAAAAGGAAGCTTTTAAAAATGGAGGGGGCGAATAGGTCTAAACTGGCTACACAGGGCTCAAAGTTAAATTTGATCCTTTTGCTGCTCTGTAGCTGCTATGGAGCATCAAAGGAATTAAGTTAATTTGCAAACAAACTAAAGTTAGTCACTGTAGTACTCTTTAAAACTATAGAGACTCCCTTTTCTCACATGTGTACCCTGTTCAGATTCAGTTTTTCATTTATGAATATCACTGTTCTATTTTTATACTGTAACTGCTAATGTCAATCATCCTCTCACTGGTTACATTCACTCCATTGCAGTACTCACATGCAGATCACCACACAACAATATTAGACAACATTGTATTCCCCAGATGTTTTCTATTATAACTCTTGCCAAGCTCTAGCCCCCATAGCCAGGTTTATGGGAGTTCTAGTTCAAAAGTTCTGGTTGCCTGCCCTGCTATAACAAGGACTGTTTCCTTTCTTCTTCAGTATTCACAGAGCTACGACACCAGACTGTTGGGCAGCAAAAGGTGGGATGCATTCTTCACAAGCAGAGGGGACACATGTATCTCCTTAAAAGTCAGGTTTACTAGCAAGGTTACATTATACATATGTTGAATTGTCTACATTTTTGCATTGCCCCCACCATGAACTTGAATGGTCCTCCACAGTTGATATGGTCCTTGAATACGAGGTGTCCAGAGTGCCGTCTGGTCCATCTTTGTTCGATAGGTTTCAATTATTGTGGCCTGAGGGTGTGGACAAGGTGTTTGGACAAGCCTATCCCACCACCTGTTTATTCAACCCTTGCCCTTCATGGCTGCTCACCAAAGCCAAGAATGTGATATGTACTTTGGTCCAGGAAGTTAACACCTCTCTGAGGGAAGATTGGGTTCACCTAAAGAAGATAAACCTGAGCCCAGAAGTTTCCATCAATTATAGATTGGTGGCTAATATCCTGTTCTTGGGCAAGGTGCTCGAGCAGGTGGTTGCCAGGCAACTCCAGGCTCTCTTGGAGGAAACTGACCATCTGGACCCATTCCATTCTGGCTTCAAGCCTGGTTTTGTGACCAAAGCTGCCTTGAATGCCCTGTATAATGACCTGTGCCGGGAGAGTGGTTCCATTCGTACTTGTCTGTCTGATTCCAGACGGTGGTGTTGAGGGATTATGGCTCTGTGCCATGGTGGTTATGCCATGAAGTCTTGCATGGTTGCATTTTATCCCCCTTGCTGTTTAACATCTATATTAAACTGCTGTATAAAACCCATGCAAAGGTTTGGGCAGAGGAGTCAACAGTACACAGATGGTCTGCCTCTCTTTTACATCCAATCCAGGTGAGGCAGTGACTGTCCTGAACTAGTGTCTGGCTGGAGTGATGGGCTGGATGAGGGCCAGTAAATTGAGATTTAATCCACATAAGACAGAAGTTCTGTTGGTGGGTGGCTCAGCTTTCCAAGTGAGTGATTTTCACCTTGTTCTGGTTGCACATAAGCGACAGAGTGCATAGCTTGGGAGTGCTCCTCAACCCTGCTTTTGTGTGGACCACTTTCCACCAGCTTTGGCTGGTCCATCAACCAGCTGGTCCATAGATGAGCAGAGACTAACAACAGTGACCCATGCTCTGGTAACCTCCTGATTGGACTATTGTAATGCGCTCTACGTGGGGCTGCCTTTGAAGCTGTTCTAGATACCTCAGCTGGTCTGCAACAAAGCAGCCAGGCTTTTGACAGAGACCGGTAGACATTCTCATATAACCCCAGTCCTGCATCATCTACACTGGCTACCAACTGAAATTTGAGCCCAATTTAAGGTGTTAACAATGACGTATAAAATGGTTTAGGGCCCGGGTATAGGAAGAACTGCCTCCTTCAATACATACATGCGCATCACCTAAGATTCCTGTCTGAGGTCCTACTTTGGGAGCCCTCTTTGAAGGAAATCAGAAGAGTGGCTACTCAGAGAAGGACCTTTTCTGTGGTAGCACCTCGGTTCTGAAACCTGCTTCTCAGAAAGGTGTGTCTGGTGCTGATGCTTTATTCATTTCAGTGTCAGGTAAAATCTTTTTATTTTCCTGGCACTGTAAGATTAATTGTTGTTTTTAATGTTTTATTTATACTCTGTTTTTGTGTGCTCCCATTGTACTGTATTGTATCACTGTACTGAGACTTTTGTATAGGACGAGATAGAAATGCCCCAATAAATAAATAAGATCTTACATTGATGGATTCTGATGATATAATTTGGATTTGTCCAGATGTAAATAGTATACCCCCTTCACGGGTCACTGCCTTGCTTCAGTTAAGGGGCTTGTGTAGTGCAATGAAGGTGTGAGCTATGCTGTGCAGGGGCACCCAAAACAGATGGGTCATAGCAGAGAGCTCTGACAAAAGGTGATCCACTGGAGAAGGCAATGGCAACCCGCTCCAGTATCTTCGCCATTAAATCCTCATGGACAGAACTGCTGGGAATGATTGAAGGCAAAAGGAGAAGGGGACGGCAGAGGTTGAGGTGGCTGGATGGGATCACTGTAGAGCTGGGTATGGGCTTGGGTGTACTTTGGGAGATGGTGGAGGACAGGAAAACCTGGAGGAATGTTGTCCATGGGGTCAGGAAGAGTTGGGCACGACTTTGCGACTGACCAACAACAGTGTGGCAACTACGTAACAAATAAATGCTACTTGATATGCAAGCAAAGGTGACATTTATTAATACCATTAACTAAGCCAGTAAATTAGTAACAAAAAGGATTATTTTGATCCATCAGAAATGTAATGGTTTCCATGCATCAGAACAGCAGAGTAAGATAGGGAGGAAACAGATTCAGCATGACAAATCACATTAGATCAAGAGGTCATGCAGCAGAAACAATTAACAATGAAGCATCCTGACAGGCTGTCAGTATTCATGTGTTATCATTTATAATGTAAATATTTGTACTAATATTTGCTGGAGGATTTCTGTGAAGCAGTAAGTAAAGTAATTAAGCAAACTTAAAATATCTGCAGAAATATTGCAGCATAATACTGCTAAAATAATGCTTGGAATTCAAGAGGTCAAGAAATAACACATAAATTGAAACGATAAGCAATGTTGTTCTTGGCAGTATATGCTTCAAGTGCTGTTTGGAAGATGGGAAACACTGGATGGTCCTGGAGCGAGACTGTAGCAAATGCTAAAGCATAGTAGCTGTCAACAGAATTTAACTTTTCTTCAGGAAAAAAAAAATGGTTATGGTTCTGCCCGATTTTAAGTATTTGTCAGGAAGCTCAATACATAGGATTAGGAGACCACTGTGTTACATTAAATGAACAGAACCTTTGCTGAAAGCAGATAGGATTGTAACAATCAACCTAAATAAACTCTGTCAATTTGGGGATGGCAACCATGTATTATACTTACAGGTAAAACCTGCAATCCTATATTGACTTAACAATGTTGTTCACCACAGTGAAGTTTATTCCTGAGCAGAAATGTATAGGATTGTACTTCGGAAGACTGCAAATCAGAAATCCCAGATTTTGCCATCTTAAATAGTTTCACTTTTTAAACACATGAAATGAATAGGGCAGAATGTTTGTATGATAAAACTCTGAATGTATCCATAGTTAAATTGATATTGCCCTATCTGGTCTGAAACAATAGTTTTCATGTGTTTAAATGATAGTGAAAGATAAAGGTTTCTTTTTCACCCAATGTCCCACCCTTAACAGAGTTTTGGCCAATAGTGTTTTGATTCCCTTTTGCTTTGCTTTCCTTTGCCTCAGAAATATAGCATGGGGAAGGTTCTCTAACATTGGAAACCTTGGAGAAAGGATTGATTGGTGGAAACTGAAGCTTCTTAATGATACTGTAACACCGGCTTGGGACAGAACCTATCTGGATCTTGACTGAAAAATAAGGTGTACTTACTGAGTTGGATAGTAGAGGTGGATACCTATGCATCCCATGTGCCTTTAATCACTTAAGAAATTTGAAGGGAGAAGAGTTTAAAAATTATAGCCAGAAATTAAAAGTATTTTAAATTGTCCTGTATTTTATTAACAGTCTGTTAGTGCAGTTCAAGCTATTTAATTATAAGTTAGCAGTTTATATGTAGTATTATTTCAAGTATGGTTTTGTGTTTTACCTTGCAGGAAACTCGCTGGATGTGGAATGAGCTAAGAAGTAATTACCTTTCCCAACCCATCTTCTAAGATATGTTTGCGAGATATAAATGTATTCCATGATGGAAACATTAACCTATTGGAGAGAAGAAGAAGTCTGAATGCTGTGCTTTTCCAAATAAGTACTCTACAGGTATTTTTATTCTATACCAATCCACTGCTGAGAAAGTTTTAGAGATTATTAATAACACAGCTGAGTAATATGCTGTGTATTTGCAGTGGAAATATAGCAGTTTAAAAAATCAGTGTGTGAGTGGTGTTTATTTTTTTTTTTTTTTAATTCAATGAAAGGAGGGGAAATATTTGAAGCCTGTGTGACAGGATGCTTTCATCAAATAGCATTTTCTGTACTTGGTCTTTGGCAGTCTTGTCTGTGAACTGGAAAGTGAAGAGAAACTCCCCAAATGATATTTCTGAAAATGCAAAGAAAGCAAATATACACAACTCTCTCTCATGCCAACGCTTGAAGAAAAAGTGCCCCTAGGGAATATTGTTTAGTACTTTTAGTTTAACATGTGAGAAAAGAAATGACTGATAGCAAAAAATCTCTGGGAAAGAGGCTCATATATTCATGCTTCTTTAGAGTTTCTTAACATAAATTATGACATTATGCAGAAAAGCTGCAAAAGGAATGCTTTACAACCACTTTTATAAATCGTGTGATTCTTTTACAAAGAAAGACAAATGTTTGGAAACTGGAATATCTTCTTCACTGGAAAAAGCCATGCATGCTGAAATTCAGTTAAAAATGGATGGATCTCAAGTAGAGTTGAAACCACTAAGAAGCCAGTCCTCAGTAAATGAAAATGAAACTGAGAGTGTTGATTTCAGTTATGTTAAAAATAGAAACATCTCAAAAGGTTTATGTACCTTGCACGACAGATTAATTTGGAATGACTCCTTACAATCAGTAAAGACTTATAATGAAAGCACCAGTGATTCCACAATCTGCACTTGTAAATTGATAGAACTACCAACTACCTGTGGGGATAAAACTGGACAACAGCTATGTGATTCCTATGATACTTCAGTGCATAACTATTTGTGTTTGGAAAGAGCATCCCAAAAACTCAGTGTGGCATGCTTAAGCCACAATACTTTCTCAAGTGGTAATTTTACTGGAAGAATATATTCAAAGCCCATTCTGAGCCATTTTGAAAACTGCAATGAAAGCTATAGAGAAGAGATGGAGGAAGATCTTTCCCGAAGTAAGAAGGAGCGCTCAACTTTATTAATCAGAAGATTTTGCAAAAATGATAAGGAGGTTAAAAAATCGGTCTATACTGGGACAAGAGCAATTGTAAGGACTTTACCATCTGGGCACATAGGAGATACTGCTTGGAATTATGTTGACCACTGGAGAACAAACTGTAGGATTATATCAGAACAGTTAACACTTCAAGTTTCAATAAGTCATACATTAAATCCCTACCTTCTGCAATCTATATGGCATGAGGTAAGTGTCTTTTTATAACTTCCTTAAGTCTAATATTTTTCTGACCGTGATGATTAATTAGATTCAAGCAAATTAATTTTACATAATGCCAGTCTGCTTAAAGCCAGTTTGTTTTCTTGAATTCTCGGTAGTAGTTGTACACCTGACATCAAAGTTTAGATTTGGTAATTGAGATTTTAGAGAGAACCTCATGACTTGGATTCAGACTTGAGTTGGATAACTGATCTGACAAATATGGACTTTACTCATTATATTTATATCCCAACTTTTTCCTTCCAAGGAATTGTGGGCAGCTTACAAAATTTTCTTTATTCTCTCAATCTTATCTGCACCACAACAAACTTGTGAGGTAGGCTCTGCTGAGAATCTGTGACTTGCCCAAATTCATTCAGTGACTTTGAGTGAGCACTAGAACTGGGATTTCCTGAATCCCAGTCCCATACTTCTAGGCACTATACCACACTGTTTCTCACTAGACTTTCCTGTTGCTTCTTCCTTATGGCAGCCTTTCAGCCCTTGAATATATTACAATGAAAATCAGGAGATCTGGGGTGAGCTGTGGTTTGGGAAGGGGAATCTCCAAAAAGTGGGCAAAGAAACTTTCTGTGAGCAGAGCCCATCCTCTTGCAGAATGTGTATCTTGGATCCATACATTGATGTGATATATTTGTGTCATGGAAATTATCCTTCTGTGGGGGATGAGGGAGGTGATGCATGCATTCTGTTACTTATAAATTTCAGCAAGAGGTTGCATATTATTGTGTCACAACAATAAACATTTGCAAAGTAATTACTTGGCAAAATAATTCATGGTGAACTATGTCTTGTGTAGCACTTAATAAACTACTATTTAAATTTTTTTCTATATAGAGATGACATCATTTAAAAGAGAGTACTTGATTGGTCTGCTGCTGTTGATATGATTTCTGCAATGCTGTTTTCCTGCCTTTTTATTGTCTGTGTTGTGGTTTATGCTTTTATTATAAGAATGCTTGATTTTTTACAGAAAAGACAGTATATATATGCTGAAAAGAAAATGCCATTGAATTAATACAAGAATATAATTGAGCAGGCTTTTTCAACTTGGTGTCTTCCAGATATGTTGGACTACAGCTCTCATAATTCACAGCAGACTTAGCCATGCTAGCTGTGGTGCTGGGAGTTGGAGTCCAATATTACTGAATGGGGCAAAAGGAGAAAAGGATGGCAGAGGTTGAGGTAGCTAGATGGAGTCACTGGGCCAGTGGGTGTGGGCTTGGGTGGACTCTGAGGGATGATGGAGGACAGGAGTGCCTGGAGGAATGTTGTCCATGGGGTCGTGATGGGTCGGGCACAACTTTGCGACTAAACAACAAAAACATTACCATTGGCTAAACAACAAAAACATTAGCATTGGTATTGGCCACTGGCTAAGGACTTCTCATAGGGTGATTTCTTAGACTAAGTTCACACAACTCTCAAGGGTTAAATATGTTTTTCTTTGAGCCATGGGTAGTTGTTGGAATGTGGTTTGTTGTGTTTTCTGAACATGGTGTCTGAATCTAACAGGACACAATTATGTTTGTTAACCATGAACAACCTGCAGTTCATAACCCAAAAACATATCATGGGTTTTCTTCTTGGGTTGTTCATAGCTAACAAGCCACAGTTTGTTAGCAACACTGGGTTCAGACAGCACAATAGTTCACATATGAACAATAATCCATGGGTAATCAACAGCCACCCCCACTTAACCTATGAGTGTCCAGGAGTGTGGGTTATCATGCTGAATGGACCAAGTTTCTATCTTTATGGAAAACTGTTGTTAGATCATGTGAATATTGTTAGTAGTATGATGAACAATACAGATGTTGAGAGGAAGGAATGGTAATTCTTGCATTACTCTGTGGTTAACCACTTATTCTTCAGATAATTGCAGTCAAAGTAGGAGGTTTTGGGACTACCACCCAGCAAGTGGCTATTTTTCCATCTTTCACTAAAGCTACTTTATGGCATGGTCATATTGGGTCCATGCCGTCATAAATTATCCACTTACAGTGCATGTATGCCATTAAATTTCTTTGCCGTTTTACTTAACTGCCTTACAGTGGCCCAGAATGCAAGTACCTGGTAAGTGTGCTTAACATTCATGGGGTGCTTGCCAGGAATCGAGTCCCATGTACTGCACTAACAGTGCCCCATCTTGTGCCAAATGTGCCTGCAATTTGAAAGGAGCCCTTTGCAACTGCTGCTCAAGCCGTGTTCCTCGTCTGTGCTGCCTGTGGCCATGTTTCGGCCTGCTGCAGCTTATGTGGAAGAAGGTTGCTGGTCATACAACTGGAGGCTGTGAGCATTTGCAGACTTCTCAGCTCACTTTGGAAGACCAGGTTGAGCACAAGGGGAGGGAGGGATTCTAATAAGCTTCGTCTCATTCCAAGTTTGTCTCCCAGTTTTTTGCTTTGACAGCACTGAAAAGTCAATGACTCGTGGCAAAGCAGGATTTTTACCTTGGGCTCCTTACTGAAGGTGATAATAGATTTTCATCTTGGCAAATCTCCTCCTCCTCCTCCATGAAGTCATATGCATACATGACAGTGATAAAAAACTATACCAGGGGTGACCAAGCAGCATTGCAGCTCTTTGAGCTTATTTTGTGGCTTGCTGCTGCAGGCGCCCATGGGTACATGTTTGTCACCCAGCCCACTTTCCTCTTGTCACAGCCTGTGAACACCTGCTTGTGGCTGTCAAACGTCTAGCATTTATCATATGTGGCTCTTCTACTGAGCAAGTCTGGCCATCCCTGCACTGTACATTTGATCACCACTAGTCCTTCTCTTTAGACTATCCCTGAATTTATAGTATTGTCAAAGCTCAACTCTTAAACCTCTGTACCTAATAGAAAGGATAGTGGCCTGTTGCAGTGCTTTTGAGGAAAGCTATGCTGGGATGTTTTCCATCCTGTGATTTGAAAGGAGCTAGAGCTACTGCCGAACAGGAATCCTTGAGGAATCCCCGTCTCTCCTACCTTTTGTTATTGAGTGAATATGCTGTCAAATATGTTATTTGTCCTTATTCCAGGCTAATCACAGGAAACTCACTACCTACCAGAGCAAGAACATGAATAAAGATTTTTTAAAAAGTTTTGTTCTGTGGTAGTAGAATTATAAAGAAAGATAAGGATATCTTTCTGAAAGAGAGAGAGAGAGGATTAGGGTCTCTGTTTTTAAATAACACATTGTTTCATCTTAGTAGGTTATTTTTCTCACAGAACAACTGCATTTTTCACTTAGGTTTCTTTTGTGCTAGTGACACAGTTGTAAATTTTGTCCGCCTTTCAAAATTCCTGCTGTTCTTTAATTTTCACTTGTACTAATGTTTTGCTGTTGTGACAAATCTTGAAGTGGTTTATTTAAGTGCAAATTTAGTATGAGAATATCCAGGCTGGATTATACTAATCATCCATCTAGTCCAAGGTTCACATGGTAGCAAAACAACTGCCTGCAGGATCTGTCAAGCAGGATAGGTAGGCACAAGAGTTTCACCTGCCCATGCTCCTCAGCAACTGGTGTACACAAGCATACTGCCTCTGATAAAGGAGACAGCACATAGCTAAGAAGGGCAGTAACCTTTGGCAGCCTTCTCCTATTCGGATTTTTCCAGTCACCTTTTAAAGGCATTCAAATTGGTGGCCATCATTACTTCCTGTGGCACGGAATTCCATAGTTTAATTATGTACTGTGTGAATCTATCCTGACTCTCCCACTAATCATGGGGTGACTCCAGGTGCTTGTATTATAGGAGAGGGAGAAAAATGGCTCCTTTTACACTTTCTACTACCAGCTCTTACTTGCCTTTTTTTCTAAACTAAACCATTCCCATTGTTGTAACTGTTTCTTTCTGCTCCAACCATTTCATCATTTTAGATACCAGGCTTTGCACCTTTTCCAACTCAATGTCCTTTTTCAGGTGCAGTGACTAGAACTGTACACAGTATTCTATGTACATTCTCACAAAGATTTTTAGAAGGGGAGTATGATCTTGGAAGATCTATTTTCAATTACTATCCTAATTATGCCAAGCATAGTTTTTCATAGGAGCTGTGCTACTGGGACAGCATTTTCATTGTGCTGTTCACCCTTACTAAGATCACATACTTGAAATTGTGATTTTTTTTTTATTATTCCAACATGTTACTTTACACTTGTATCATTGTTGCTATAGCACCCTGGTATGAATGCATGATATGAAGGCATCTCCACAACCAGTGTGTTCAATAACCAGTGCAATTATTCTGCATTTTGGGGTATCTTGGCCTCACTGATTTACTCCTTTCGATGGGTCGCAGATGCATCCTGGGGGGTGGGGGGGATTATTTATTTATTTAAAACATTTCTTTGCCGCCCCCATCGCAACAAAACCTCGGGGCAACTCACAAAAAATACAAAAAAACCCCAACATACATAAACAATAACAATGTAACAATTTAAAAGAAAAAAACATTTAAAACCCCCGGTGCATTCTCGGCTAATTTAAAATCCTAATAAATACAATAATTTAGCAATTAAAATAAGTTTTAAATAAAAAGGTCTTAGCCTGGTGCCGAAAAACAAATAATGGTGGCGCCAGGCGGACCTCTCTGGGGAGGTCCCAGAGCCACTTGTGTATTAAAATATATTGTATTTGGTTGCATGTGTAGAGTTTTACAGCAGGAGTCCCCTACATGGTACCCACAGAACCTGGAATTTTAAAATTTGTATGTATCCACCCATCCACCAACCATCCATCCATTCAGTGTTTTAAATATAAGTACATGGATTTGTATGAAATGCACACAGCTGTCTAGCTAATATACACAGGATTCAATAAAAGTGACTAAAAATCCAAATCCTATTTCAAGGTGACATCTCTATGCCACCCATTCAAATGTAGTAAGACCCTCAGTCCATTGAATTATAGAAAGTATGTGGTTTTTCCTTTTAATGTTGTAATATCACTTTTTCAGCTTTCAAAAGGGAACAGAC